ACTCCTGGTCTATCTAAAACAGGCTCTCAGTTCACTTTGTTTTGGGAAAAAGGTGTCACAGAGGAAGAAAATATACTGGTTGCTGAGGCTGGGATACTTCTCGGTAAAATATGATGTGTTCTTCATAGTGGGAATCCTTCAGCTTAAGGGGATGAAACATAAGGAGATACACTAGTTCTGCTGCATATGTAGAGTACATTGTATTACCCAGCTGAAATATCAACCTCTTAGATTTCCTTTCAGAGGTGATAGTCAAGATGCCAAGCTTAACGAGAACATGCACCACCGTAAATGTAACTGTGCTTTTTCATCATATGCCCTGTTTAGGGGGAACAGAATCGGCCTGAAAGAATCACATTGCGAGTTTTGTTGTGCCTAAACAAAAAGATAAATGGATGGTCAGCTTTAAATTCATCCTTGTGCTGCAGGATCCGATATCCTGGTACCTCTCGGGACTCTCCACCTTGTTCATTTACTTCCAAAGAGACCTTATGGATGATCTTTGACAAAACAACACCTTTTGTCTCACACATCTCAGAGAAATCTGACGCGGTCTCATTGAAGACATTTGTCATTCCCAGGCTTTCCAGAAGTGGCTTCAGGTCATAATCACCTTCCACACTAAACTTTGGAAGAAATACATTCACTTTGGTGTTGGCCATCATGCTGGGATTGGTCCACTGTAATAACGTCTCGGGGGTAAGTGCCTTTTCCAGCTGAAGACACAAAGGAACAAAGGAAATTAATGAGCAGTCCAAGGAAAGAGAGAGAGAGAGAAAAAAAAAAGACCATTCTTGTACTTCTCACTCTTATGAAGCCTGCAAAAAATAAAGTCAAAAAGCAAACTTTGCTTTTGAATTCACAACTGTAGCATTCAGGGTTAACAAACTCTCAGTTATGTTGATGCAAGTATGACTTAATCCATAGGACAGGCCTCTGGAGCAACTCCACTGTATGTGCATGCTCTGAATATTAGCCCCTTAGAAGCCTTTGATAGGCAATCACCTCAACAACCATGTGAAGGAACCTGAGAAAGACAGTCCCTACCCAGGTTACACCTGGCTGACTGGTAGATCCAAAAGTCTTGATTCCTGACTCTACAGAGCAATGAAATTGCTGGTGTTTGGGACAGAAAAAAACTCCAAATCCAGAGCCTCATCTCAATCAAACATGCAGCTGTTTGAGTAATTTTTTAAAACTGGCAAATGAGGAGGCAGAATTTGGGGTCACAACAAATTGGTATCAGGAAAGGCCTCTCTTGCCCTCTAAGATATGTGTGTTCTGTAATTCACTCCTGCATATAAAAGTACCTTACAGCTGCAAAGGCAGATTCCTCCTGCCTTTAAAATTGATGGCCAGTTGCAGTAAATTACAAAAGACACTTGCATGACCATCTGTCTCTTAAACTTTGTAGAGAGGGGAAAATATGTTCTAAAATTTTCATAAGTAAATTACAGTAAAAGTAGTTGTTCTTTAGGAAATGCCTTATTAATTTTAAAATTTATGTGCAATTGTAATAAAAATTGCCTCATTTTCAGGCACCTCTGCTCAAAATTAAAACTTAGAGAAGTGTAAGACCTTAGTAAAATAAATCCCAGATATATGTCATCTGAAAAAAATGAGGACAACAGAGTAAATAAAGCCAGCTCTACTGAGTACCCAGTAAGTATGACTTTAAGCCCTTTACTACAGCAAGAACAAAAGTCATAAAATGAAAATTATTTGGGGGGTCCAGATTTTCAATTTGATGCAGATTCCTAAAGTGCATCATGGGCACCTTCTACACTGTCTTCTATGCATACTTTATCTAAAACAAAGTTTTTTTCACAACTCACACTTGGCCACAGTGGAAACAATAATGTCACAAATATGACATCAGGAACAGAGAAGCAGAATGAGAAGGTAAATTCACCAGAAACTTACTTTTTGTTCCTTCTATATAGCATCTAAATAACAAAAATCTGCCCTAAGCATATGGCATTGTAAGAGGGCACTTTCCAAGGGAAGCATTATACCACTTCTACTTTTTTCTCTCACCTGCTCCAAGCCAGTGGTCTCATCTTCAATCTCTTTGGGCAGCAGAATGAGCATGCTTATATGTTTGTTAAGGCATGGAAGCTCAAGGATGGCAACATTTAATTCTTTCACATAACCCAGGCAAAAAGTAGCTTCCAGATTCATCATTTGCACTGGTTTAGTTTCAGTCTGCAAAACACAGAGGAAACAATCTAGCATTCCTTTTAATTCACAAATAAGATGGTGAGGGAGGAAAGTTTGCAAGCTTGCATGGAAGTGGCACCATCAGCAAATTTGTTGGCTTTCATAGGTAATGAAACCAGCTGTAAGAGACCCTGTTGGCTTTTTACAGTAGGCAGCTTTCCAAAGAAAAGTAGAACAGAATTCTACTTAATACAATAGCAACATATTGGGGATGTGCCTTAAAAGAGAAATTTACTTAATATTGGTGGCTTTTCATGCCTGTTTTATTGAATGCTACAAACTATACTGTCTACATACATGGCATCGTAATGCCAGTAAGTGTCAAGCACTGAGCACATCTCAACAGTGAAGTTCAAGGTGTTCATATGAATAATTGATACTTTGCTTCAGGAGCTGAAACAGAATAAGAAGAAATTTTGGGCTTACCTAAAGCCCTATGTCCTTGCTTTTCATGAATTAAACAAAGCAAAACAAAACTCTTTGTTTCTTAGGGAAGATTTACAAACTGTTTACCTGGAAACTCATTTAAAATTCAAGTCCAGTAGAAAAATTATACTTTATGAAAAAAAACTTGAGATATTTCACTTAAGAATTGTAGTCTTGATTGTATAATTTTAATAACTTTTTTAGCTGAAACTGTTGGCTGATGTGGTAATTTATTACTGTTTTCAGTGAACCTGAAACTCCCAACTTTTCTCATGCACATATAGATATATATATGTGTGTGTGTGTATTTATGTATATATTTGGAGTATAATCTCTTTATCTCACAAATGCTGCCCAGCTTTCTATTTTGATTTAAAGCTGACTGTGTGATCACAATATTCATCACTGGTCACAGATTCCTGAAGACAACAGCCATGGGTGCTGCACCCACGTGGACCTCGTGGCTAAGCAGGGCTGATATGCAGAGGGCTGCAGCCCTGACTGGGAAAAGGGAGAGTGATGGGGCCCCATCCCTAAAGAGGAACAGGGACAGGCACCTAAGGGGTACACTCAAAGAGACTCCATGGGTGTAGATGTTCCACTGGCTCTCTGACCATGAGAAATGCAATGTTTTGTGCTTCACTCCTGCTGGTTTTGGGATGCAGCCTCTGGTACAGGCTGCAGTCTCTTGGAATAAGCTGCCCATGAGAATGTGCATCCCCTTGTAGGCAATGGCTGCTTCTGATCCCTTGTACTCAGCTCCTGTTGCCTAAATGTACTAACGGGACAGTCTCTTTTCACACCGGGCCTTTGAAGGATGGATGTGAAAGCACTAGCAAAGTTTTAAGACAGCACAGAAAGTAAACTGGTTTAGGACCCTTGCAACAGCATATAGAATTAGATAGAGTCTAAGAATGCCATAGTAAATAAACATTTCTCGTTTTCTCTTGTTGGGATTTCCTTAGCTCAAAGTTTGCATTTTCTTGAGTGGAAACAGTACTCTATTCATTTTTTCAGAACATACCTTGTTGACTTTAAAAGGACATTCTTTAATCTCTGCCTCTGGGAACTTCTTCATCCAGTTTGTGACAAAATAAGCTGCATTAACTAGGAGGATCTGAGTCTGGTCACTTATGCTGTCCTCATTCAAAATATTCTCCATTTTACCTGTGAACAAGTTTAAGATGGTTGTTAATACAAGAATATATTATCAGTATATCAGTTGTTTCAACTGAATATGGAAACATTTCACTGAATTAAAAAATTTGGGTCCTGCACCTCATGGATAAAAGATTCTAATTCTAATGGAAAATTACAAAAAGAAATACTTACTTAAAATTGCAGCTTAATGTTTGAAGTGGGATTTGGGATCAAGGTAGATCTTCCAAATGACACATATTCCTGGCTTAAATAGCATGTAATAAAAAAATATGTCTACTGTTTTTGTTCAGTACCTTAAAGAAGGTACTGAATTTTCAGTGAAAGTCAAGGGGTGTAAGTGAAAAAGCATTTGTCATTTGGAGAGCTAGACTTGAAGGGAAGTTGCAGATTAGCAGCTGCTCATTTCTAGAGTGACACATAAGAATAAAATAACCAGAATAACAAAAAATGCTGCTCTGATTAGAGTTCATAACCAAATACTGCTACAGACTTCAGAAAGAGAATGAAAATGCTGTGTGTCCCCCTTGCTCTGTTTTAGACCCATTCGAGCACTGCCATAAAAGAAACTGAATCCTGAGCAGTGGGGAGGCAAGTCCTGCCTTCATGCAGGGATTGCAGAGGCAGGGCAAGGTGCTTCCACACCTCGCCAGCCTGGAAAGGACCAGGTATGATTCATACAGCCATATTTTCGTATTTGTACCACACGAGGGCAACAGGCAGCAACCCACCCCAGAGCTCCCTCTGCCCAGGCTGCAAACAGGCTCTGTTATGGGGGCTGTGCGCTCCCATGGGCCAGGGCTGGACCTCTGCCCCTCACAGACCAGGCAGCCTCTGCCCAGGGACCCTCACAGTCACTGATGTGCATCTTCTGTGACTTGACCCAGCAGCTGGTGGCCCACTGGTGCTGTGGGAAGAGTGTCCTCAGCCCCGTTCCCACAGGAAGGCACCTCCAAATAGGAGACACACATCCACTGTGGCACCTGTGCTGGCAAAAGCAGCAAAGCCACTGAGCTGAGCTATTAATTAACAGCCCAAAATGCAGAGTCCAGAAAAAATTCCCATTGTAATAAAACTTGTAAAGGAAACCAGGGTCTGTGTTCAATCTATTGATGTCAGAGGCTTGTGAAGCTCCACAGCCAGGACCTGTCGTTCTCTCAAACTGTCTTGTTGCAGTCAAATGTCAGCAGCTTCTCCCAAGGCTAGTGCAAGGTCAGACTCACATTTCCCCCTTCAGAAATGCTGCAGTATTACAGTTAGTGATTTCAAAAGAGGCTGACGTTGCAAATCCTCATGAATCCAAATAATAGGTCTAGTCTTATTGCTTTCACTATATATTTATTTCTAAAAGCATTAGTAAAGAGGTGTCACAAGGACAAAGAGCTCTTTCTTCAAAGAGGTAGACACCATCCTCAAGGTCAAGCTGGACTCACCATCAGTGAGCTCCGAAAGAGATTTGTTGATCTTCTGCCGTGTTTCCTCAGTTTTTTCTTTGAACTCCACTAATTCCAGTTCAGATGGAAAAGGCCTCTTTGTGGAGTTGACAAAGTCCTGAAAGACACAAGATACCAAAGTCTTCCTTGGTTAAATGCCATCCACGCAATAGCTCATTAAACATCCTGCAACATTGGCATCCTGAGCTTCACCATGGGGTAGCTGTGGAGGTTATTATGAGGGACAGCTATTAAACAGCAGTATGTGACAACCAGGACGCACAGCTGCATTCAGCACATCGCTCCCAAGGGTGTCTTCAGTCCAGTGGTGTCACAGCAGCTAAAGTAACCTTGGTACTGCAGGAGTGAGAATGTTGCCAGAGTCTGAATGGATCAAACAACCCTCAGTCCGCGCCCAGGTAAGAGAAAGGACTGAGATAAAGGCTGTGGGCTGCTCACATGTGTCTGTCCTCACCAGATGAGATGTTTATCATGGATGGGTACTGGCCTTTGCTGTAGCAGAGGCTGAATGGGCAGGCAAGCTGATCATAGCATCATTTAGCTTAGTGAGAGTTTTCTGAAACATCACTTTTAGGTTAATGCTGCCCTTGCTTGGGACCATATTCAAAGGCAACTTTTGGGGGAAAAAGAAACCCACAACATTTTTCTCAGGTATTTGCAAGGTTCATAAGCTATGAGGCCAAACAACACCTTCCTCACTTGTGTTGTTTCAATAGCCAGGCTTCTGCCTCCTCAGAGAGATTAAGAAAACTACACCTTTGCAGCAATTACTTGGGTGTGTGAACTGGACACACACTTGCGCCACCAACTTGTTTTAAAACTCCTTTTTGCTCATACTTATGATGCAAAGACCTTGATGTGGCATAGAGGTTATATTGCATTCAAAACTTACTGAGCCTACTGAGCTAAAGCATATTAATGAAAGAATTACAAATGTTGTAATAGCTGCATAGCTTGGGGTCAAGCAGCACGCTCACCCTCCTACAAACTTTTATGGCAGCAGAGAATATTATGTTGTTCATCAGCCGAATCAAGTCAAGTAACAGCCAAACGTAAGAGAATTTATTTTAAATAACATTGAAGTCTGACACCATAACCCGTCAACATGCTGGCCAAGCAATTCATAGTACCAGGGCTTTTCTGCAGTACTTACTGTGGTAGGATTAAGAGACTTGTCTACAAAGAGCCGTTTGACCATTTTCAGTGCAAAGAAAGAGCTGAGTTTGGAAACGTCTGAAGTTACCGTTTGAAACCCAAAAGAAACATCTTTGACATCTTGTAAATGGAGTACCTGTTAAATGAACATAATAAAATACTAAGCATCTTTTTTTTTTTAATTTATTACCTAAATGTTCCTAACAGCTTAGCAAAAAATAATGTTAGTTTGTGACTGGAGCTGTGGCTTTTCATATTTAAGCTAACAACACAGCCTCTCACTGTTGTTACTCAAAAACCATTTATTTATTTGACATCCCCACAGAAATCTAAAAACCTGACCCTAAGAGAATTTTAACCAAATGTGTTTCTTTTCTGTGAGCAGTCCAAAGAAACCAATAGGCCTGCTCATGCTGGTGATGTGACTTAGTTGATTAAAACTCCACAATATGGCGTCATATTGTTTTCACCAAACTTAGTTCCTGTCCAAAAACCTGGAGCTTTTAAGCCAGACAAATGAGGGTCCCATTTCCTTCTAGAAAGGAGAAAGTCTCCTTTCTAGAAATGTGCTACACCTTTAAAAATGCTTAACACATCATGGAGTGTTCTGATCGCTGTGACTGACTCATGTCATCACATGGTATTTCAGCAAAAATTGATCAGATAACTATGTCTGTTTTGGCAGTAAGTATGAGCCGGAGGTAAGGCTGCTGATCCACACATGGCCACCTCCCAGCTCCTGGGAACGATAAGTACAGTTCTAGGAAATTCTGGAGTAACCTAAAATTTGCCACTTTTAGGCACCAGAGATGAGAGGTTCCTGATGGTTTTGTTTGAAAATAACCCTGTAAATATGACTTGAACTTCTATGCCTGCTTATTGCAGGGTCTTTGATGGTGGCTGTTTCATTACAGGCAGCCTGCCCAACCTTTCTCACCTATTTCAGATTCTGCATGAGGCACAGCAGGCACTAGTGACCTTCTTTTCCCTTTGCCCCTCACTCCTGCTCTATCTCCCTGAACACCTCGTGTCTTCACAGATACAGCAAATTGCTGCTCTGCCTCAGCCACTGCTCTGTGTCCTCCCCTCTCCTTGCTCAATGGGAGCAGAAGGAAATAAGCTCCCAAGGACACAGCACCAGCACATCTCTCGTAGTCAAACCCCACAGTCATTTCTCAGAAACAATTTTCTCAACTTAATTCCTTTTCCTCCAACACTTCTGTTCTTAGCATGTTAAGCGCAGAAAGCTTCTGTGCCTGGAAACTATGTTTGGGGAGAAAGGTAGGATGCTGCAACTTCTCAACCTGGGAGAGCTTTGGGCATGAGTCTGTTAACTGATATTCCAGAGTAAAACTGTCAATCTGGCTCCTTTTGTACGTAGTATTTAAAACCCAAGCACAAACTCGGGGGCAGGCGGAAGCTAAAACAGGCATGGAAAATAGGAGATATTACATTTTGAAATATGCCAAGTTCTCCTGAGTATCTGTAGTCAGCACTTTTTATATACAACTTGAGAAATATGAAACATAAACGCACTTTGTGTAACAGAACTCCATTTGTGGATGCGTACTTTAACTTATTATGGGATGGCTCAAAGCAAGTTGCAGACACAAGTGAAAATGAAATTAAGTGCAGGTTAATATTTTGAACTCTCCCATCAGAAAGATGGCACTTGAATTTTTAAATGGTGAGGAAGCTGCAGGATGTAATTTAAATTAAAAAAAATAATCTAGAGTTAATTTTAAATTTTTTATAAAAAACAATCCTGTTTGGAAAAATCTGCAATGTCTAGAAGATCTTCACAGATACATTGCTATGCAGCTCTGTGAATAGCACAAAACTCATTGCAATCTGTGGCATGAGTGGGGGCACAGAAGGTTGCGCTTGGGGGTACCTTCAGTGAATGAGGAAGTACAGGGAGGAATTCCCAGAGGAGGGAAAAATGTATTCAAATATGTAGAACGTCCCTCAGAGCGAAGTGATAATCAGCATATAAATGCATATTGAATTTGCTTCTCATTCACCTCTAGGTAACTGCAGAAACCCTGGGCACCCTCGCTGGGATAAAAAGGAACTATGCAAATCTCTGCTCACACGAAGGCAGCAAAAGAGGCTGCAAGGCGCCTTCCCTGCACCACAGAGTGAGCTTGATAAACTGATTGCATCATGACTGCCACCATGCACCTTGAACACCATCAGCTGCTTGTAAGGAGAAACATCCATGTTGTGCCCTCTTCTACTGCTTCTACTCCTCCTCTTAGCTATATCAGAGGAGGGAGGGGAAATGTCAGTGACAGGGTTGCTAAACATACTTGCTGCTGCTGACAGATAATGGCAAAATTGCTTCCAATTCTATAAAGCTTAAGCATTCTTGAATAATGAAAAAACAATTATCCAGCAAACGCAGTGATCTTGACTATGACTTACAGCCACAATCAACACTATGCTAAAAGGAGACAAAGCTTTAATGCAACTGTTGAGGACTCCACCATGTCCCCTTCCACCTTGTGCACATTTGAGAAAGTTTTTTCTTTATGACAGATTTTCAACCATTTTTGCTGTGTGCAGCCATGGAGTATGGAAGCATTCAGGAATTTCAGATGGATGGTTTGCAGCCTGGCTTGCAAGGGGAACAGACATCTAGTATAATATTAACAAGAATAAATAAGAAAGCCACCTCCGACAGCCATGTGATTTTGCAGCCCCAGAACAGGATGCTGACAGCTTACCTGTTTCATCTGGTCTGCAGTATCACCTTTTGTAGCTTTATATGCCAGAGCCAGAGATGTTGAGGTACACAATGGGGCAAAAATAATATTGGCTGTTTTGTCCTTCTCGCACAGTTTTTTGAACATATCAACTGCAAAGGCAGTGTTCGCTAGTTGCAGAGCGTCCATCGTCATTCTGAAACAGAAAAGGGAAAAGAGAGATGACTCAGAGTGTAATTCTAACTCTGGCTGTGGTGGGGCTGGGTCAGAGCACTGAAGGAGGCTAGGTACCAGTATGGAGACTGGGCAGCTTGAGCCTTCAGGGAGAAGAGATGTGGGCCTGACCAAGCCCACTCAGCTTCAGAGCACAGTGGAAGCTCCTGAGGAGCAGGGAAGGTCTCATCCATGTCCAGCCAAGGAAATGCAAGTGGTTTAGTAAAAGCCAACATCTTCAAGTGACAGTTGGCAATGCCATGTGTTATGTGGAGCCAGTATGACCAGAAGCACTTGGGGAAATCTGCGTAGGACACGATAACCCATGCATATTGAGACAAATTGGACCACATATTAATTTAATCTGTTTTTAACTGATACTCTTAAAATGTGCCAACTTATGAGGTACTTCGCCTATGCTCTGGGCTCTCCTGGCTCTCAGACAGGCCTTTAATAGTCTCATAATCTTTTGTGTCTCTTGCTTCATGGCTAAGTGTTCATTAATGCTTTAGCTTTGGTACATGTCCTTCCTCTAAGGGATGATTCCCCATTCTCCCCAGCCTTGCTAGAAGTCTTCTCCAGAAAGCTGTCTCGTCCTGTACATTGAGATTGTCCTAGAAACTTAAAGGGTGCCTCCTAAATAAATACCACTGTATGCCCACCCATCACTTACACTGTTTTAACTGCAAATATTTTCCTAGCTGTTCTTAATAACTGCAATTGGCACAGCGCTGTTAGATTATCTGTGCAGTCAGGAATGGGACGGGTGGTGCCCAAGGGACAGTTGCTGCAGTCCATGCTCTGGGAAAGACAGGGAGTATTCCCACCTTCCAGACTGCTTTCACATACCTGAAATTGCACTTTGGTGTAGGTACATTTGAGTAGATTCAAGGTAACAAGGATGAACCACAGAACTTCAGTCAATAGCACAAGTCTGGCTTTAGACCAGCAAGCACACAGAAGACGACCCCTTTGGCATAGTGAATTTGACACTACTCTGCCCTCAATATCATGTATCTGTTAAAATTGGTGTTAAACAGCTCTGTCAAAGCTATTGACAGATACAGAAAGGGAACAGAAAAGATGGGAAAATATTGGGAAAGACTTCAAAAGGCCTAAGATTTCACACAGAACCTAAAAGATGTCTCCAGCATTTTCTCTCTCTCCAGGAAAAATGGCAAAATAGTGGAATAAATATGGTGTGGAGAGGTGATCTTAAAAGGTGCGTTCTTATCCAGACACACACCTATCTGCATTTGCATTTCAAGCTCTGACACTGAAGATCTAGGGATGGGTCCTATTTAATCCTATTATGAAAAGGAAAGTCAGTTATTCTTACATTGGTAGGAGGTTTGCTAATCTTTTGAGAAACACCTAACGGACAGGGATTTCTCCCCAGTAACTGACTACTTAATCTGGCAGTCTCAAACATTTACTTACCTCGTTCCTATCATTTGCACCCTAGCCAGGAAAGGTCTCACTGGGTGTGAGCAGCAAGGTGTGAGAAGATAGAAAGGGGAAGAAGGAACATACAGGCAAGGAACTGTCTCCAGCAAAGTACCTTTCTTGACCATTCACTCATCCTGGTTTGGAAAGACATTTTGAATGAGAACAATCTCCTATTTGAGTGCATGTGTCATACTGCCCCAACTTAGCTCAATATCTGACACACTGTGGAGCAGTTGTGGTACTTGACAGGAGTGAATGACTTCCCAATAATCTGTGGTATGTATACATTTTTATGGGAGTAACAGAACGGGTGCATAATTTGCCTGTGACACAGTAGAGAAAACATTTTGATTTATTCATAAGGCTTGTTTGATTAGAGAAGGCCCTTTACAAAATAAATGCCTTTATTTTTCTTTTCATTAACTTACACATATTCGTAGATCTATTTGGTAAAGCAACTGGTTTATTTGGCAACTGATTTGCTTTGGGCTAAAAGATGCTGTATGAAAGGTTACTGAAATGCATTGCACAATCTAATTAAGTAAAAAAAAAAAAAAAAGACACTGGCATAAAACCAAGGCTTTTTAGATCCATGTTTGAAAAGCATACCTAACCAGCACTGCACTCTTGCCAAATCTTCTGACTGTTGGTATTAGCAACAAACTGTTTGCTAACAAATCACCTCCCACTGGAATGAAAAAAAAAAAAAAAAAAGGAATTTGTCTTGAGAATGGGAAACATTAAATATATATCACTGAAGAAAGTTATCCCCACATAAAATTATAGAGGAGTATGGCTTGCAACATCTAGAGGCTTTGCCAGAACCCTGAATTTGGAATGGATCTGGCTGGACTTGTCCATTTTCCAGTAGCCTGGTAGTGCCCAGCAGCTGCTTGGTAAAGAGAGATTATCCATGTGAGATCCCATTTTACAACGTCAGCAGGCGTTGAGCTGATGTCAGAGTAAGGTCTCAGATCTTATAGGTGTAAAAGGAGAATTAAGGGCCAGCCCAGCACTGCAACCATCTGTCTCATTTACGTAGTCACAACTTCTTACACATGAAAGCAACTAATTACGAGAAAAGTCAAGCTTACCAGAAACCAGGGGCTCAGCACACACCTTAAAGGAGGAGAGCTTTGGGCAGAACAGTAGCAAAAGAGAGTTAAAACAAATCTGAAGGACTGAATCTGCTGCTGAGAGAGTAACTTGGAACAACAGAGGCAAAGGAGCAAATGTAAAATCATCCTTTAAAATGTCTCTCTGCAGTTGCTTGTCCCAGACGTGCACCTTTGTGCCTGTGCATGTCTTAAATCAACTCCCTCTCGTAGGCTACCTATCTCATCTTCCCCATTAACCCCCTGGGTTGCAAGAGATTCAGAGTAAGGAAATCAAATGGGAAATTTTGCAAAAATCAAATGAAACTTCTTCATTATGCCAGCGAAAAGTTGTACCAGGACTTAGAAACTCTTGTTTTCTGTCTTCATTGGTAACTCTGGTACTATTCATGTCAGATAATTTTCTACAAATTTTCTATATTCCTTTTCAGTGAGGAAAACAGGAAGTGTTTCGTGGTGAACCTTTTATTTACCTTTTGATCAGTAACCACTCATACTCTCAAAGCTTCTTTTGTGCTGAGTAAAACTATTTGTGGTAGTGTTAAATCTCTCCATTCTTAAAACTTCTGTCTTCTAGTGCTACTGTTGAAACAATGCCCATTCAGGGCATCTTGTTGGGAAAAAGGTTTCACCCTTAGCTTGAATTATGGCCTGGATAGCCAAGAATAATCTCTATTCCATCATCTTTTTTCAACTGGAGCTGGTCAGTCAGTTCTTTTATGCTCTATTTATTAATGATGTTATGATGTTTAGGAGCTCATGACATTCATATACTTGAAAGGAATCTACTGTATTAAATATTACAGAATCTTGAATCTTGTTAAAGCCTTGAGCGTCCCAAGCCTTATGAGTCCATTAAAGCCAGTTCCAGTCAAGTGAGAAGGGTTGAGGTTTGCATCAAGAGGAAAGCCCATTAGCTGCCCATTAGCAGCTTTAGAAACCAGACATAGGTCCTGAGTCAGTAATCACAGGGAGCCCTCAAACAGGGAGGAGCCAAGAAATTGAAAATGAAATTTTGAAAAGGCTTGCTGCATGGCTTCTTGCTGAGTCCCTCCTTTCCCGGGAAAGTAGTATGTCAGCATTTCCAAGGAGGCCCGCGGCACTGGGGCATCTTCTAAGCACAGGTAGCTTGTGATCCACCCAGCTTTGCTTAAAACTCTGACTCTGCCACAGCATTACAGAATGCAGAGGGGAGCTGAAAGGCTACTGAACCTGTTTAGAAAAGCCTGATTTAAACTTGTTTATTGGTATAAGACACTATTTTTGCTTAGTCACTCTTGAATGCAACAACCAACCAAACAAACAAAAAACAACAGAGAGGCTTTGTTTATTATCTGCTTACTGAGATAAATGCTGAATATAGCTTATCTTTTAAAAATATAATCAGGAGAACAGCATTGTCTGTGTGGAAATGTCTGACAAGTCAAGTTAGCTATATGGTAGGAATAATCTGATAAAGCAGAACAAGTATTTACTTTATTCTTGTCTCGGATAAGCAGCCCTTCCAGGAGAACACACCTGCAGCAGATAAAGCACAGACATTGTTGGCCATCCAGTGCTGGGGGGTGTATTGGGTTTACAACTTAGGGACCATGAGTACCAGCACTGTAGTCTCCCCACTTCAAACAAACTTCCACTGAGAGGATAAATGATATGAAACAACCCACATGCATGTTTCACAAGCGAGGGATTAATCTTTAAAACTAGCTCAAGCATTTAACATTACCCTACTTCAGCTCTTACTCAGCAAACACAAAATATAAAGTAAACAAAAGACTTCTATGAGCCTTTTCTTCTTGCTTCTACACAAATGACAACTCTCCACCTGGCAGACTACCTGGCTACGCAACAAGGACACAATTGCTTCTGAGCAGACATTTCTTTGAGGAACACAAGACATCAGACCAGAGCGTCTGGTACGGTTGGGGAAAAGCACTGTCAGCAATATAGTAGGG